ACCATTTCTGTGCCACCGCCACGGAGTTCCTGGGGTGACCAGTGCTCAGTAACTCACAGCGGGTTTCATTTTTGTCATTGCCCCCTGCATATGCGGTTTCTAAAACCATTTCTATTGGTTGTTTGATCACGTTGATCACTGCGCTTTATTAACATAAGCGAGAAAATATTTCCCTTATTATTTTAAAGAAGTCTCCTTAGTCCCCAGTTGTGATAATTTCTTTCCTTCCTGGACCATGTTGAAGCCAGATTTTGAAAGAAAGTGGATTCGTTCATCTGTTTATTTATATTCCTTGATCTCCTGTCCTTCTTTGTTAATTAACGGCCATATTTGTTGGATTGTACTTCGTTCTCTGTATTCAAAAAGTCTCTATTTTTCTCAACCCATCAATTAACGTTAACTCTTTGTCTTTCTTTTCCTCCGAAGCCTCAAGTCGCATTCGGTCTTGCTCTGCCTCTTCCTTCACTTCACAAAGCAGCACAGGGGGAGTCGGGGGTGACAAACACAGACCCTGCTGTTCCAGAGCAGCCCCTCCTGCGTTACCAGTCGGAGCGAAAGAACAGCACGAATCAAAAGATGTCTGTGAAGAAGCCAGGCACGGCGATGCAGGCAGAACAGCCCAGCGCAGAATACCTGTGCCAGAACACACTGGAATTTTCTAGAAAGTTTTGCTTTTTATTTTGCATGCAATGGCTTATATGGCTTTACACTAATCTCTTAATATTCTTCATTGTGCATGATTATATTAAAGTCTTAACACCTTAAATCAATAATAACCATAAACCAGCTAGCAGCCTGTTAACACCTTATTACAAGCTCCTTGTTCACGTAGCAAGAGAATAGTGAAAACAGCATAAAGCGGCTAATGGAAACCAGAGACCGCCTTACCCCCACGGTACTGCCAGGTGCGCTAGAACACAGTGCAGCACAGAAAATGGGCTAGCAGGAAACATCAAACAACGCAAGAACAAAAAATACGTATATTTAAGCATCAGTACTTGATTACCATGCTAAGAAATAAGTAGCAGAGAAAATTAGTAGTTATGGATTCAGATGTAAAAGTAGTAAGACCAAATCTTATGTTCCTTATATGTATGCTTTCAACTGTCCCACAGAGATTTGAAAAAAAAAAAAAAAAAAATCCATTCTGCAGCTTCCATAGTCCAATTCTGTTAATGAAGCTGTCGTTTCTACTTTTTAACCTGTAACAACAGAAATTTAGCTCCAGAATTCTCACAATGCTGGATCATCCAGACCTAAATGCCTTGAGTTGAGGAACAAAGTATTGCTGTATTGCTTAAATCGGATAAAACAAATTCTCCTTGCACATCCTTTTCTTACTGAGGGAGAGCATACTCATGAAAAGACAGTTTAATTGTGAAAACCTGTTGTTATTGTTTAGTATAATTCTAGGACTGCCCTCGAACAGCGCTACTTCACTGTCAATGTCTTACTGTTTCTCAAGTGCTGAAGTATTTATCCCACCACAAAATGCTGTTGTTTGGTTCTGCGAGTTCCTGTTAGCTTCATTCATAAGATGCAATCAGTGCAATCCTATTTCGTGATGACAGTCATTATCCAATGGACCAGAAATTCTTCTTAGTACTATTTATTTGACAAAAACGATTATTCAGGATCTTTAACTGCAAGGTTTGTCAGCCCCATACAACACAAAAATATTTCTCTGTACTTTACAGTTTTAATATCAGCCAATGTAGAAGTAAAATATGTAAGTATGAATAATTTTTATGAGAATTTCACGGACCTTGAGAAAATGTCTTACCATGTTTTTCTCTTTAGCTATTTAATTGCAATGTCATAGTAACAGAAAGCAGCATACCCAATTCTGCATGGATGAATAAGCACATTCAATAAAGAAGATTTAACAGAGTAAATCAAACACTGGATTAAACATTTTCTGCATAACAGACCACAAAATGGGCATTCATTTTACCAATAGACCCTCTACATTAGAAACAAATAGAAATGCACACCAACATCATTAAACTGCACATCCTGTGGCCTGATTGCAGAATTTCCCTATATTTTGTTAAACTAGGTCTCATCAATTAGACCTGCCAAAACACATTCAAAAATGCACACTGACAAGACTAAATGTAGGTTTTTGAACCGTTTATATTAAATACATTTGTTTTTCTACGTTTTATGAAAGAATTCACAATCCTATATATTGCAGAGGATTCATACAGCGTTTTTAGCAATAACAGTTCAGAAAGACACATGCAAAGATCAGTTTTAAGATTCCACTTTTAGCAGTTCTAAATATTTTCCTGTAAGCAATTTTTCCTACTTTGATTTCAAGCAAAATATCTCATAAAAACACAGGGTTTGCTTTATAACTTTCATTTGGATTTTCACATATTCATAGAACTACCTTTGTTAAAGTTTGTGTAGTTAATATTGAACGTTATCAAAATACTTTTTGGAAAGATAGCGATCTTAGCAAACCCCCATAAACTATGTAACTGTTTTTATTTTCCTAGGTAGAAACACTGAAGCCCAAGAGAAAATCAGGATGAATCAGCGTTAGAATTATGGAGCTTCTAGTTATCTCAAGATCTAGTCTCAGATCATTTAATCAAATATTTCTTCCTCCAAAACCACATAGCAAATACTTAATATTCACTATGATGAATTTTATTTTTTTTAAAGTTATGTAGTATCTTTATCCTGCAGTGACTCCACATGTGAAATCTCATTATTCATTCTATTCCTCACTCCATGAATACAGAATTTAATTCTACTTGAGTACCAGTCTGAACAAGGATCAGCAGCAGGATCGGGCCTATTAGCTACTTGAAACATCTATTGAATAACCTGATTTATCCCAGCTAAATGGCTCATTAGTTCAGGCAGCAAGAAAATGTTTGTGTGTTGCTGAAGTTATGCATGGTTGTCATATAGAGTTTGCTGTTCTGCAACTGTCAGTCACTCAAGCATGCACAGACTAGATTGTTCATTAACTACAGATCTACATTCAAGTATGTCTGGGAAAAAAAATATTTGTTTCCACATTTCTTCTAAACTCTGATACACCTTTATTCTAACATCTTCTTTGTTACCACTATCTGAATTTTTCTTTCTTCCTGTCAAGGCTTGCAGTGGTCAGTCCCAATCATGCCCATAGAACACATTACTTCTGTTTTATTAGTGGCGTTAGACCCTAAACTGCAAATTTGCAATTGTATGTAGAAACTTAATTCCCACGGATGGTATGAGTATTCCTTTGACACAGTAATCTTGGCCTTGGTAGATCAGTGAACTAAACATATTTAAAAAAACAGAGTAATTAAATCCACATCCTCTACCAAAGGAGCACAGAAACTAATTTTAAAGTTGCCCTTCTGATTACTAAGATGTGAGTAAATTATAGGATTGTTTAGAGAGATTGGGAAAGAGAATTACATTTCACTCTACTTCTGTAAGCACGCAAGGCAAGAAGTCTGTTTTTCCAATCTTTAATTAATGACATTCTGAAAAATAATCTGTAGGTCTCTCACTGCAGTCAAAACTTTCTTGTACAAAGTGAGCATAGAGGAGAAAAAAACAGGATCAGAGCTTTGTTCAGGCTGCTCTGCCCAGTGTAGCTGGCAGAATATGGAGAGAAGGCTCCACTACAGCTTCATTAAGTATTGCTTGTGAGTTTTACAGGCTTCCTAAAACTACAGATGTGCAGGACGAAGGAGATGATAGTCTTTGCAGTAGCCCAAAAGTTCAGTTATATTTTATGCTACAGGCTAATTTTAATGCTTAAAATAGCTGATGAACCTAGGATGATGACTAATACGCTGCAGTTTTTAGTGCTTGTCTCTTAGAGACGTGGAGGAAAGCTTACTTTAGGAACTGGAAACTTGGAAAACTACTGGTAGTTGAATCAGATTGTATCTTGATTTACGTTGACCTAAACACAGGTTATTAGTGCATTATATGCAATATATGGTGTCAGTTCAGTTTTTTATTTGATTAGACTACTTCTCTCAGTACCCTGTATCAGTGGCTAAAATAATTTGGTATAGCACATGGATTCTTATTGCTGTATCTTCTTTTACAGTGTGGGTGGGTGTTTTGAAGCACTTAGTCATGTTTGAAAACAGCCTTTTACTTTCCTAATTATCATTCTGCATCTTTTTTTCCTTGATAAAAAAGTCTACTTTTTAGGACTACTGAGATGGAGACAGAATGCTGTAAATTATTTTTAAAACAGAAGTAATGATAATATACAGGCCTGTCAGGCTGACCTCAGTGCTGGGCAAGATTATGGAGCAATTCATCCTGAGTGGGCTCAGCGGGCATGTGAAGGACAACCAGGGGATCAGGCCCAGCCAGCGTGGGTTCATGAAAGGCAGGTCCTGCTTGACCAACCTGATCTTCTATGACCAGGTGACCCGCCTAGTGGGTGAGGGAAAGGCTGTGGGTGTGCCTACCCGGACTTTAGTAAGGCCTTTGGCACTGTTCCCCACAGCATCCTCCTGGAGAAACCAGCTGCCCATGGTCTGGATGGGTGTACTCTTCGCTGGATAAAGAACTGGCTGAATGGCCGAGTGCAGAGAGTGGTGGTGAATGGAGTTAAATC